GGCAGAACAAATCCCTGTCCCCATCAAGAGCCAGAGCAGCCAAACCTACCGGGGTTTCGTCACTTCTCTGGGGAGACAGCCTCCCCTGCTCTGCATACATTTAAAGCGTCTGGACACTTCGTTCTCTAGCGTCTCCTTATTCCGAGGCAAATCCCACGTTGCCATGAGCTTCGGGCTTGTTTGTTTTTCACAGTCTTTTCACGCAGAAAGAAGAGCCTTCGTTCATTTGGTTGTTTCTTGTGGTCACCAGCATAGAGTCTTTCACACTAATAATACACAAAATCCATTCTTAAATAGAAGGCTGAGATCGGGGGCTGGCATGTGGCCATTGATGGCGTGTGGCATTTAAACAGGAACTCCGTGACTTTTCGGTTTGCGGCCAATGCAGATCATTTCGCTGTGGCCCGTGGTAAAGAAGAAATCATCTGAGGAGTGCAAACAATTTTGCAGGTCAGAGCTGTCTTGTAAACCAGGGCCACACATGTAACAGCAAAGCGATTTAAACAGGTCACTTGCGCGCACGTTTTAAACTTCTACTTTTGGATAGTTCACTTTATATAAAAGTTTAACTCCTAAGAATGTTTCTCTTACCGTCTAGCATATAAATGGCCGTGTCTGAATACCTAGTCAGGAACAACTTTTTAAAGTTAATGTGAGTTTATTTTTTTTTTTAATATGACATTTATTGTCAAATTGGTTTCCATACAGCACCCCGTGCTCATCCCAAGAGTTAATGGGAGTTTAAATCAAATTAAATTGTACCATCGAATCAGGGGTAAGATACAGCGCATTCAGAAAGCACCTCTGTCGTTTTCTTTCTTTTTTTGTTTTGAGAGACAGCAAATGGGTGAGTGGAGGAGGGACAGAGAGAGAGAGAGAGAGGGAGAGGGAGAAAGAGAGAATCCCAAGCAGCCTCTGCGCTGGATGGAGCCTGACGCGGGGCTCGATCTCACGAACTGTGAGCTGAAACCAAGAGTCGGAGGCTTAACTGACTGAGCCACTCAGGCGCCCCACACCTCTGTCCTTATTCTGGAGTCGTCAGCAGCTTGGGATTACTCATAAAACTGACCGCTTCATTCATACAGTAATTGTGCTCTGCCGTCTGGCTTTCTAGTAACCACTCTTTCTGCACAAGGTAGATCTCGAAAGGAGCCAAGCAGGTGGCTGCCTTACATGGACCATGCCAGGCTGCCCTGGGTCCTTCCCTAAGATGCTGGTCGCGAGAATTCTGAAGCTGGAGCTTTATCGTCCCTTTGGTTTATGAACTTGGCTCTGTGCAAAGACAGATCTGTCAAGGAAAGAGAATACTCTCTGCTGATGTAAGTCATCTTTGTCGTAGACCAACGTACTTGTGTTGCACAGTACGTGAGAGCCATCCGTTGGGAACTCTTCCTGAATTCTGATACCAAACTCACCCTCCTACATACAACACACTCCGTCCTGCTCCATCATGGTAAAGAGCCATCCCTCCCCCATGTGAGAAGTAAGGCCTTCCTTCTCTGTCCCCGGACCCCAACCCCTCCTGCCTCCTCGGGGCTCCTACACTACCAGCTGAACCCTCTCCCTCCCTCCATAGGCAGCTTCTCACCAGCACCACCTCATCTGGAGTCTTTCCAGGAAACGGCGTGAGCCTCACCGGCGCCCCCTGCACCTGCACCCTCTTGTCCAGCCAGGCTTGGGGAAGAGTCACCCATACTCGTCTGTTTTCTCACCCCCCGTTCTCAACCTGCTGCAGCCTGGCCTCCGTCCCCTGCACTCCCTAAAAGAGCGCCAGGCAAGCTTGCTAACGGCCTGCACCCTGTGCTTTTCCAGCCTCACCAGCCTTTCCAGCGTCACCTCCCTCTGTTGGCCAGGCACGTCTTCCCCCCTCGCTCCCGGGATGGGACATCCTC